ATACGTGATAGCCCCGGGACTTGTAGCAAGGCTTCGGAAAGAGAGAGCACCCCAACGCTCCTGTCGTCATGATGTCTGACGCACAGTAGAACATCGGCCTCAATGCAAGTCGTGCCGAGATGTTGAAATTCATCGAGACAGCAATACCGAAGAGGGCTGGGCTCACTTGCACACATGGCGACGAGCATGCAAAGCAGAATGAAGCCCCTGGCACAGAAAGACTTCAGACAGCATGTGCAGCGCTCGCTCACACAGACTCTGTGGAAGGCACAATTTGGCATCCTCATCTTTCAGATATTCCGGGATGGGCCTTTGTGAAGCATGCCGAATTGCGTACCATGCCAGCATGGCTGTACTGTCTGACTTCCTGGGCAGGCATGCTAAGCCGCACACACACGTCCAACTTTCATGGTTGCTCCCGTGCGGAATGCTTTGACAATCCGGCGCAGGTGGAAGACCAGAAGTCGTGCCATACCTCCAAGAACCACAAAATGAAGCACAAAACCGAGAAATGTCCGACAAGCGAGAGCTGACTGCAGTGACCCCACGGTACTGGAGGCAGCGATACAAAAAAGTGAGCTAGGTCCCCGGCTGAAGGCATAGTTTATCAAGCGACCGCTGAAAATTGCGATCCGCATGTTGAACCTGTGACTGAACATGCTAGTCACGTCCCCGCTGAAGAGAGTGCCAACATAAAATACCTATGCCATATGCATTCCCTGGACATGTTAAGATTCGGGCTCCTCTGCTGTTTCAGTTTTTGGCAGAATCGCCTGGCTAAGCATGAAGACGACAAGGCTGAACCTGATCAAGGCAGTGGTGCCGTGTGCCCTTCATTGCCCTGCTAGACACAGAAAACATAAATGCGGACTCAGTCGGCTTAGCACAGTGCAGAAAGCTTATCTTGGAGAATGTGAACTGTCGCCGGACGACGCCCGACCTAAGGACTTGGCAGATGAAATGCAATCCAACCGCACGTGCCACATAACATTTCGACAGATGGTTCGAAGCCCAGGAATGGGGTGCAGAAGTGCATGCCACAGAACATCGTGGTAAGATGTGACTCAAGCTCGGAGCCACAAGGTGTCAGAAATCTGCACCACCACCTGGTGAGAAATGATCTTGACATCCTGGCAAGCTGCAACGGGACATCCACACATCAAGAGCAAGCTTGCCGATGCAGAGATTACACCGGGCTGCCTTTGCATCCGCGATGGCCTTGAGTGCAGCCGAAAATGCACCATCCTGCCCCATGGTATGCTGCAAACTCAAAGTCACAAAACGTGCACAAACCGTAGCCGTAGCAGTACCCAGAAAGGATCCTTGTTCACGACAAGGTGCTTCACGTAGAAGTTCACTCGCCTGGCATCAGATCATGGGGTAAGCAGAGCAAGTTCCTGCATCGCCCGCCTGGCACCGTTGATTGCGCGCTTGGAGCGCCAAACCAGTCCATCAAGGAGTGCGGGCAACAGCTGAAGGGCCTGAAGCCGGCCATGCAGAAGGCCGCAACCCGAAGCAGCCGTGGCAGCCGTCAAAAACCGTCAAGCTACGGCTGCGACGTCTGCACAGAGCCGCTCCACTATGTCTGGATGAGCTTGGAAAAGAGCATCAACCTCAAGACTTCCAAAGGACCAGTCGCTCACTTCTGGTAAACTCACATGCCAAGCGACTCCGAAGTAATACCTCTCTCGGTCAGCTCTTATCATCAGCAGGTCCTGGGCAGAGTCAGGTCCGCATTCCCCAACAGCTCACTACTGGTCACCTGCCTGGATCATTGCACGCGCCGCCTCAAGACTGCCACTCTCGATGGCCCAAGACCTCCGTCACTTGCAGAGTCCGGTGAGTTCGGCCGTGCAGTTCGCAGACTTTGTGAACATCTCGCTTCCGAGCATGATCAGGGCTACACTCGCTAGTCTCCAACGTGACAACGAGTTGGGGAGGTTGAAGTCAGGCTGACGATCACAAGGGTCTACAAACCTGCGACGCAGTACTGAATTTTGGCTCCGGAGCCGTTGGCCATTTGCCGGAAATACGGCCAAATCCATGTCATTTCCCTGCGCTGCTCTGCTGGTGACTGGGGTCAGCAGCCTGTGAGGTTGGGTGGTACTTCTATGAAATGGCCGTGACCAGTACGCCCGTTTCGTGAAGCGGCAGTCGGGCAGTATCGCTTGTTGCATTGATTTCAACTCATATGCGCACACCTCCATGCAACAGAATGACGAAGCACGCTGCCATCCTGGCACCATCGCCATGGCTTCCAGCGCCACGAAGCTGATCACAAAGGTTCAATGCTCATGGAGGAGGTTCAGTTGTAGACAGCACACTGCACACACTGCCAACGTGCATCTGACACAATGCTGTCTCAGAACGATCAGTGCCCTGCAGTGGGGAGATCTGCTGTGTGCCGACTTGGATTCGCAGCCTTCCGCATGCTCGCAGCACTCCACAGCACTATGCAAAACTGGGCACATTCAGTCTCAGAGCTTGACAACCACTGAGCACGCTCTCCACGAGGAGCTAGCGCCACGGCCTTTCTGAGCTGCCTGAAGGCACGGCCGTCAAATCCAGCTGCCGAGCGACACCGTGCGCATGTCCGAAACTCATGCCGGCAACGCAGGGCCGAGTTTGCATTAATTGCTTTCATCACCTTCGAACTCAATCTTGCAATTTGTAATTGGAGGTATCAAGAGCCAACGGAACGCTGAGCGTCTCCGCAATGGTGGCACCCTCTTCGATAACTCGGACCAGAATCTTTGCCACCAGCACGACCGACCACCTGCCAATGAAGTCTCGCCATGCACATGCTCCAGCTCGTCCACTGACAATCGCCTGAACGCTTCCATTGCTTCATGTTCTTCGGGTGCTGCTTCGCACAGAACCTCTTCTACCACGAACCAATATTTGTTCAGGCCAACACGTAGCACGTTGCGACGGCAGTCCTCCACGAAAGCGTTTGCGAAAGGACCGATGAGATGTGTCGGAATGCCGTAACCTTCGCGTGCAACTCGAGGGCATGTCAGCATTCGAAACCACGCATTCCCCCGGCAAAAACCAGATCGACCGGATGCGGTGCTGAGGCTGATGCCCACATGGCGCAAACCGAGGGCAGAGATCTGCTCGGTCTCGGGGGTGAGTTGCACTGAGCTGAGCACATCTGAGCCGCGCGACAAGGCCGCTGGCCATCTCCCAAGGATCGGCCAGCAGCTCAGACCTCTCACGCGCCGCAAGCCGTCGCAAGCTACAGCCCCACAGCTTCAAACTGAGGTTGCTAATTGAAACACAAGCCGCGGGCGTCATGTCCATTGCCCGTGTCGCGATGAAGTGCAGCCTCGTGTCCGACTGCTTGAAGAACTCCTTCGAGGGCAGCTCTTCAAAATAAACCAAACAAGCAAGTGTTATCAGATCAATAAAGTGCATTTATGGGTGGGCGACTGGAGTTGGGTAGGGGGGGTGGTGTTGCGGGCGTGTGGGTGCCCCAACCAAGGGGCGACAAACACCCCTAAGCATGTTGTGGGTGGTTCGGTCACTAGACCCTAAAAGGAGATCGTGCGGGTGTTGCCTGTGGTATCGTCGTGGAGGTCCCGCCATCTTAGTGTGGATTTCCAGCTGCTGCAGGGAGACGTGTGAGAAAGAGAAAGAGAAAGGAGGAGGGAGACACAAAGCGGGACCCTGGTCCGAGCATCACAACACTTCAGTCCTGACCCTGTGGGGCCACCTGGAAGAAGCGCACGTAAACTTCGTTGCGCAGCGCGACCTTCTCTTCCTCACAAGCCCATCTTTCGACGAGTAGTCCCAACCAAAGAGTGGCTGCTGAAGGCCTCTGACCACAGTGACATCAGTCGAAGGAGTGCAGGCCTCGTTTGCGAAATACTGAACAAAAACAGGGACTGTTCCTGCTGCAGTGGCGCTCCTCTCGCACATATCACTCAGCTTTGCACTCCCATGCACGTGGTTTGTACAGAATTTGGCGAAGGTTGCTTTCAACCTTGGCAAATCGCTGAACACGAGACTGCAGATGCTGGAGAGTAGTAGCTATCGGTTGGGATGCAGACGCTCTCCCACAGCCAGTTCCAAACCGTCTCATGATTGGGATCCCAGGTCTGTCAGAGTCAAGAAGGTCTACCGGCTTCGCATGCAAGTTTGCGGTATTCCAGTGGGCCTTTGGAAGCATGGACCGAAGTGCTGCCAGCATTGCCTCCGGATTGGTCAAGGTGTGTAGCTTGAAAGGCAGACAGCTCACAAACTTGACAGGTGCACCGACCGGTACATGGAGAGATTCACGTCTCCGTCCACCTGTGTCTGCTGCACGTCAAACAGCAAGTAGGTAGCTCTCTCAGGCTCGGATCACGGCTGTCTTACAGATGCGTAAAGCCAGTACCTGAGAGACACAAAAGCCAGACACACTACATGGTTCAATGCAGCCCACAGAACCTCGCATTCTTCCTGCAGGCGAGAGGAGTTGCCAGCGTTCTTGACGATATCATGAAAAGATCGATTGACCTGGTGCATACACATGGAAGTAAGGCCTTACAAAGTGTCGGTCTTGTCGGCTCGCCTCTCGCAGCCATCTGTGCTTCCCGAAACCCATAACAGTGGCATTGAATTCGAACATCTCACCGTATGTTGCAGGAACCTGTCCGGAATCAAGCTTTTTGTCACATCTGTCTTTGAGTCATTCTGAGAGCGACACGTTGCTGCCCAGCAGATTCTGCACCTCAGCATGAGCACTCAACAACTTCGAGAGGTCCTCCTGGCATTGGGCCCGCGGCCGTTTCCTCTTTGTCCTGATCCGCATCTTCCATGGAATGCGAAGCTTGCTCTCCACTTCTGCGTCCTGTTAGTGAGTGAAAGATGTTCTGAGGTCAAGAGGCCTTTCTCTGTCCTTTGAATTCCATGCTGCGTTGCATTCCCCAGTCTTTCATTTTTGCCTGATCAATGGTTCCACCGGCTGCGACGGTCTTGAAACGACGCACCGAACTGTAAGCCAGCTGCCCATCTGCTCTTCTTTGGAGCCTATGGGCGCACAGGCATGCACAGCAGCCGCCTGCATGTGCCAGCCATGACCTGATTTTGCGTCTCGTCGGCGATCTCCAGGGAGTCCTCATCTTCTGGCGAGTCGGCCTCTCCGCGACAGACTCGGACAGCAACTGCGCTTTAAATTCGTCCCGTACTATTCCTTGCCTTTGCTTGTGTGTCAGCCTCGTCCTGCTCAGCTTCTCATGTAGCACGCGAGCACTAGCTCACTAGCGGATACTGGCGGCTCGATTGGGATCAGAACTGTGACTGTCCTCAACTTTGTTAGCAAGGGCCCAGCTGTCCAACAGCAGCTTGATGCCTTTGCACACATTCATTGCCTCCTCGTAAAGATGCCACACATTGCGTGAGACACGGGCGAGCAGCATTGTTGGCCTCAGATATCAGGCTTACGGAAGCTAACTCACAACATCTCTGTGGACTTGTGTCCTCAGGTGCTTTCGCATGTGGATTTTGCATGCGGTTTTGTGGTTCGTTGTTTCTGCTGTGGTCCGTCTGCCTTGAAATTTCTCAGGAATAACTGGACGACGGCTGACGGCAGCAATTCAAGTTGCTCGAGGGAATACCGAGCAAAGAAGAATCTTGGAATGCCGCTGGCTGGAGGGAGAGAACCTTACCCAAGAATTTGGAGCCTAGAACTGAACCATGTCTGCGGGTAGGCGGCGCTTGCCCTGTCCTATCCGCCAGGCCGAGCCAGGAGCTTCGCTGGTTTCCGTTTTGTCGTCTTGCAGCCGTAGGAAATTGGGCCGTGACTAGCTTTTCGTCGCATTGCCGCAGCTTTGGACTGCAAAGATGAGGTCAAGAGGTGCGCTATCAGCACCACTGCAGTTAGTACCAGATACGGCTCCAGGTCCCGCCGAACGAAATACGCAGCGGTCGAAGCCGTGGAATTATTCCCTCCCAGTCCAGAATTCCTGGCTTGCTTCGATACGCATTTCTGGTAGCTTTTCGGAGATGATCCTCTGGAAACCTGACACACAAGCAACCCAAATTACAAACTCGACCAAAGCGCACCAGACTTTCAGCAAAATCTTAATTTCAAGTAGACGAGCTCCAACAATCACTCACGTCCCACTGTTGCTCTCGCAATTTCCTCGAACTTGACGCCACACTCTGTGTTCAGGCCTCCTCCTCCAGATCTGCTGCAGAAACTAGCTCTCCAGATTCTCCACTTTCGTCAGAGGCTTCTTGGCTCCCGCCTGCCGCAATCATACTGAAGCGCTCTGGCCGACATCGAGCAGCACAAACAGCGAACGAGCTGAGACGATTGCTCGGTTCTGGCTCCTTGAACGTCGGCACCTGCACTGAAGCTCGTTCCTCAATAGGCCTAGCCGAAATGTGAGGCATGGCCTTGCTGGGTCGGACCACTGCCTGACCTGAACGGAACGCTTAAAATGAGCTTCCATCCTGGGCCCATGACCAGATGTCACAGCTCGTTTGGCGGCTCAGTGATGTGCCGTCTGCGAGATCTTCTAGGGCAACAACCTGAGATCGACGTTGTGGCAGCCTGGCTGGCCTTGTGCCCCGTGAAATTCCTCGAACCTTCCGCGCTCTGCGGGGGGGCGAATCACCTGACGGTCTTACCGGCTCAGACAACGGCAGATCGACGTCTAGGAAGGTCTGGCATCACCGAGCGGGGCACTGCCAATGTCCTCCAAGGCGACCACCTGCAACCCGTCGGAGGTGTCTGAGCCAAAACTCCTCGTCATTTGAGCCTTGCTCGCTGGCTTGGTTTGTGGGGGCATCTCGCCTCAGGACACTACGAAATGCTGCACGACACCTCCCCGGATTTCCGCACAGAGTGCAGTATTGTTAATTACAGCTCTGGGTGCAAGGCGCTGGCCCAAGTCTTCTAACGCAACGACCTGTACCACAGCTAGTCAACTTTGGACACAGGCTGCCGGGCTTCCTGGGCCTTCCGAGGCTGTGAAGCCTCGTGTCCTCAACTTTGACAGATGGGAGGGTTAAAATGAGTTTAAGCTTAAACCCTCAATTCTCCGACTCCGTCTTAGCTTCGAGCTACTTCCCAGGTCTTCCAAAGCTACCACCTGCAGCTCACAGCTGTCATGTTGCATGCATGCCGACCAGACATGAACAAGTGCTGGAATGGAAAAAGTACAAGAACCTTAAGAGGAATCGACCTGCCTTGCTGGATGGGCGCGTTTCCTCTTCACCTTGCGGCTTGCCGGAATGCTCGAGACAAAAGACAACTTCGCCAGTCTTTGGAACCGTGCCTTGAAACAAGTCCTCCAAAGCAACGACCTCGTGACGACCGACTGTGACGACAATCAAGCCGTCAAGCCCGTCACTAACACATGAGACACTTGTACCGCATGTTCCTGCCTTGCCCGGAGCCTGAACTGCAGTAGCTGTGGCAACAGCACCTGCAGCCACAAGACGCCGCAAGCCGGGATGGATCAGGTCATGCGCAGCACCGCCAATCTCTAACCGAATGCACGCGCTGGAAAACCAACGCATATGCGAAAGGCTGTGAAGCTAGACATGCATCGCTCCCTGCCTGCTACTCAGAACGTTGTATGTGTGGGAGTGCAAAGGCGATATTTTGAGAATCCGGACATTCAAGGATTCCTCGAATCGCTTTTGGTCCCGATAAATAGACGAATGAAACAAAGCTCGCATTCTCCCGGTTTGCAGCTGGAGCGGGACTCCGATCACATGTTCAGGCTGTGTTGCGGATTCGCCACTACTAAGTACTAGGTACTATAGGTTCTCCATACTCGTCGTCATTAGCAGGATCATCACCCATCGCTACAGGTAGCACCAATAAGCCGGCATTGACCTCCAAAACATGAACGCTTTCCGGAGCTGGAGCTACTTTAGGCAGCCATAGGGTCATTATTGACACCCCCAGCTAAAACAAGATGGTGGATGGAAGACATCCCGCAAACCCGTAACCCGAAAACCTGCTGATGGGTGACATGATGCTTGACAACCCCACCCACGATCAAACCCGCAAAACAGAGGTGGCCACTCCTTAACCAATTTCTCAACCAATGGACAGCAAAGCCTTCACCCTGAAAACACATGATGCTTGCCTGCCAAATCAGAAACACTCAGCAACATGATGGCTAGCAAAACCCGAACCTTAGGAGGCGATGATAAACCTCAAACCATCTTAAACCCTAACGAGACATGATGGATGTCTGAACCAGAAAAGCAAATACTGACGGATGACAAACCCCAAACAATAAGACGAAATGACACATGGCAAACTCTGATCCCTGAACGGAAGTCATGAATGCACCCAAAAAATGACAGCTGGAAGGCCATCAACCTCAAAGAGATATGACTGCTGGCAAAACCTAAACCCTAAAGCCACATCAACCCTGAAATGACATCATGGATGGAACAAATTAAATCCTTAAGAACTGATGGGCGGCAAACCATAAGCCGTGAAAGGAAATGATGGACGGCAAACTCTGTCAACCCCAACTTCTGCAGGGCGGGACGCAATGGGGCCCACAGTACAAGGTTGTTGCGTGCCTTTTTTGCAAGCCATCAATGTTGAACAGTAGCTCTAGAGAACAAATTCATGCAACACTTGCAAGTCCAGGAACCTTCAAATCTTGCTATCTCCAAAGAAACTCCGTCATGTTGTGCACCGGACATTCTACAGCTAATTCCATCACAGCTATGAGTGCTAACTCCTCATCATACCTTCCTTGTATGGCATATTGTGCACCGTGCTGTTGTGGTTATCATCTATGACCCAAATGTTTCCGATGAACCGACTACAGTAACGGCAGCTGAAAAGTGGATTGTGGGGCGAATGGAACATACATGTACAGCGAAAGGGAAACGATGGGTGGAGGAGTATTGCAGCACCAAAACCCTAACGGGATTAACGCATTCCCAAAAGACCGACACCCTAACAAGAGATGCTGGATTGCACACCAATGCAAAACAAACACTGAGACGATGAATGGCGAAAAACCTTGCTTGCTGGTTTATCCCAGAAACGCCGAGAAGTCTCATCAGAGATGACGGGCGGCAAACCATGCAAGTCCTCAACCCTGAACGGAGTGACTGGATCCTTGGCAATCAGAACCTACGAAGTCAAGACAACATCAACTTGTTCAAGATGCTCAACACATTCAAGGCACTGTTGCCAACTTCTTCAAGAGTGAGAGCCTGCGCCAAGGCATGCCTATTCTCAAGCTCTCATCGATATGCACCTCAGCAGCCAACTCCGGCTGATGCCTTGCTGCCAGAAGCAATTTCACCTTTGCAGGCAACTACGAACTTCGGAAACAGCCACAATGCAGGCTGAGCTTCCCGGAGCTGCTTGTGTCCTACTCCGCTGAGCGTCCCTGCCATCCGCTAGCCTTCCAATGCAGTATCTCGACCTTGCAGTTCTTGCAACTCACGTGCACACTCTGTCTGCAGCTCTGAGCTCATGGCATCAAGCTTCTTGCCTTCTTGCTCGACCCATGTGCAGCTTGAGCTGGAACTGTCGCATCTGATCCACCATGCCTCAGTCGAGATTTGCGACGCCTCGCTTGAGGTCCCGTGATGACAGCTTAGGCGGATGCTGCAACAAAATCTGCGCACCACCTGCGCCGAGGCAGCACTGGACTGGAGCGCCAGATTGAAGTCAAAGCATGCAGCATTTAGGCTAGGCACCAGGGTGCATGGTCCGAAACTCTGTGACATCGTACACGTTCGAGTCTATGACCTCAGAAACAGAATGGAGTTGCGTAGGACGGTTCACTCAAAAACAGACTCTGTGTATGTGGCCACCCATAAACTTTCCGATGAAGCCTCGCACAAGAGCAGCCCTGCATGATCTGTGGACTCTGTCCGCAGTATGCGAGGTCTCTCCGAGGCTGCAACATGTCGTGCAAGCTCTGCAGCTGTATACTCGCTGCCAGGCCTCTGCACGAACTGCGCTGCAGCAGTAACATCATCTTGAAACGGTCATTGACCAGCCTCATCTTACGATATCATATGCCGCTGCTCGATGGCCCTGCCATGATTCGGAAATCGTTTTTCCAGTGCTTTGGCTGACTGCAGCTTACACATCCTGCTCTGGTGTCAAGAGACAATCCCTGTCTTCGCACTACATGCCCGACACCCACTGACATCCACACATCCAGCCTGCACGCTTGCCGGATGGAACCGTGCTCTGGGCGGCGCCATGTAGTCCAATGCTAGCTCGAGGTGTAGTACACAGATTTGGTCAGGGTTGGCATGCTTCTGGCAAGGTGTCTACTAGGTGTGTAACTGTCGGCTTGCACCCGGTGCCGACGTATGTGGCACATACGTCGTATGTGGAAGGGGCTAGTCTATGTTGTGTTGCGGCCCGGGAGACGAATGGCTGCATTAAGCACCAGCATGCGATAGACCCGCAAACAAATGTCAGAGCTATGCAACCTGCCAAGCCGCTAGGCTGCCCAGAAGCCTCCTTGCCACCTGCCGAAGCTACAGCTGCAGGTTAGAGCTACGGATCGGGATTCGAGGTCGGGACCTTCCAAACCATGTTGAACCTCGAAAAAGAAAAACGTGCCACAACTCAACAGGCTCGAGGCGCCAATGTGACATCATCGAAGTTGCTGAGATGTCTTGGGGAGCGGACAGACCCCGGTCGATCGCCATTGGCTGCATAGACACCTTTAAGCATGATGTAGAGACAACTGATTTGATCCCGTCCCCTGTCGGGCCTTATTTCTCTAAAGCAACTTGACAAGGCTGGACGAAAGTGGCTTGGTGAAGGGCACTGCAATCCACGACTAGCAATAGCAGGGCCATTCGTAGTCGTGAGCAAGGTCGCAGTAGCAGTAGCAGGCCCGAAGTGCAAAAGGCCGAGCAAACTGCAGCCGTGGGAAGCAGGGAGAGTACCACTCGTGGCGGTAGTGACAACGCAGAAGAGGCCAACAGCAGAGGTGACAACTGCATCAGCGGTACCGGTAGCGGTAGCAGGCAACAGTGGCAGTAACGGCGCAAGCGGAGTAGCATTGGAAGTTGGGAGAGGGAGGTGACGTAGTCTGAATTCAAGAAACATCAATACGTCTCCTGCCTGCCCAGCATTTGCATAAAGCCACTGACATGAACAAAATCTTTTCGGTGCGGGGACACCGTGACCAATCAACCTGAGAAGATTTGTCATGGAGCATAGGGTTCCATGCCTGCGAAGCCACTGAACTTTCAGAGTAAATTGACACGATTCCCACACTCCAGCTGAGTTCGCTCGCGCGACTTAACCTTTTGAACGGGTCCTGAATTAACTTAAGTATGTTGCGTTGTTGTCCCGTATTTTTCGTTTTCCTTTTTTTCAAGCAAACTTAATTTTCAAGCGCCACACCGTCTGAAGTGGCAACTTTTGCCTGAATGTACATGTGCAGGCCTCTTAGCTCATGCAGGCTCCTGCCAGCTCTATGCAATTTGCACAAAATAACCCGATTCTTGCTAGACCATCCGGACGGGTCATTTAACAATTGTTGGGGGTATTCCGGTTCAGCATATATCTTACACACGCCCCCTCTTTAACAATCCATGTGAACTCTGTGTACCTGTTTGCTGGCAGGATGATGGTTGAAACGAGCTGGCACGGATTCAAAAAGCGGGGGGCACCCGGCCACCTATTTGCAGACAGAATGCCTGTATCATGGATTTTGAATATTCAGCACTTCGCCTGTGTGATGGATTTGGAGAACTGAAAATGTCTACACATTTCTACACGTATGTGACTGGCGCAATTCTTCCAGACGGTGCGATGTTCTCGACAGCAAGCCACGCATGGCACAAAAAGAAAGCTGCGCAAACCCAATACACATATGCAATACGGGTTCTGACTGGGCCCCGGCCCCGGCACGGGCAGCTGGGGGATACATAGCACTCTCTCATTGCATTTGGTGAGCCCTCCCTTGTGTCTGGCACACCGGGGCAGCACCCTACCCCAACGGATCATTTGCTTTAGCATGCCATTCCTGGTGTCTGGCATGCTTACGCACCTCTTTCCATTGTCTTGTCCTGTCAGTTGTCCATTGCATCAGTTCTTGCCAAGCCTGAGTGTGTTTGTTCTGGCATTCCCGACATGGGGCCAGATCACAGCCGGCAAAGCCGGAGCCCGCGATGGCGGATGTGTTTTAGGATCATGTACCGAAGCTTTCCGATGCCATCATTTTGATCATTCTGGAACTGGCGCAACGGTTGACGTCCGCAGAGAGAGCGACTGCTTGCTGGGTTTGCTTCAGAGGGTTCGGGTGTCTCGACTCACGTAGGCTTGAAGCAGTGAGAGCTTGCGCTGCCGTCATGTGCAACATGTCCGTTGCAAGTGCAGGAATTACCTCCGTGATCGTTGTGTTCCTGATCGTTGCCTCTTGTTGCTTGTTGTCTCGTTAATGTTCTAAGATCTCTTGCCCTGTCGCAAGCATTTGTTCGGCGAACCATGGCATGAGTGCTTCAGACCGTCTTGGTCCTGCTGGTTTAGGTTTTAGAGTTTTTGGGGTTCTCTTTTTCGCACCGGGCACTGGCCTCTTGGCACCGGCCCACTTCACTTGGGCACTGGCCTTTTGGCACCGGCCCATTCTTTGCACTTTTTTCGCTTCTTTGGGAAGCGAGCGCACCGCACATGCAACGACGACTAGGACGAGGACGAGGACGCGGACGACGACCCACTCCCATTTTCGGCCTCCGCTTAGGCCAATCAAGCATCCGCTGCTGTTTCGCTGCAGCCCCGGTCTAGCCTGTGTGTAATCGCCTGGACATGGCGACTGCTCTACTGTTTGCTGAAAACAATTCTGCGCAGGGGACCAGGAGGGACGGGAGAGGCTCCTGGTCAACGAAGACCCCCCTCCCCAACCCCGTGCAAACGTACCTCTCTCGTTTCATTTGATGCCCGTGTCTGGCACACCGGGGCAGCACCCTACCCCAACGGATCAATTGTTCTAGCATGCCATTCCTGGTGTCTGGAATGCTTACGCACCAAAACTGATCGACTTTTCATGTCCTGCTCCTCTGGTTTTCCATTGTCTCGTCCTGTCAGTTGTCCATTGCATCAGTTTTTTCCAAGCCTGAGTGCGTGTGTGTGTGTACACCTGTGTAGGTTCTGGCGGCTCAGATGCAAGCTGCACGACTGAAAGGGCTTGGGTGCCAGCTGGCCGTTGGAACCTCGATGTCCAGGAGGGCCTCGCTGGGGTCTTTGATGTTCCTGAGGACATCAAACCGCAAGGGACGTTTAGGCATCCATGCGCCTCAGCGCCAAAGACTGGCCCAGCACTCCCGGAAATCTGGGAGCGTGGCTCGCCACCCAGCTGACCGCCCTCTGCCTGACAGGCAGCATGTTAGTCAGCGGGCCATGCACTAGAAAGTGAAAGAGAAGCTGTGCAGGGACTGAGTCCTGTGCGGTCACTTCCAGCCGACACTTGTCCTGGCTGCAGCATGCCCTTGTTCTCGTTGAATGCACTCACCACGGCTCTTCCCACGCTTGCGCAGTGCTACCCTGAGGCCCTAAGCAACTGGCATTGCACCAAGCAGAGCTTTCTTCGTTTCGCTGTTGCCCATGTTGCCCAGCTTCGGCTTCGTCCGGCCTCCAAGATGGCCAAACCGGAAGGTGATAAGTTTCTGATCTACCATCCTGGAACCCTCTGATGAAACTCGGATATCCTGCAATTAGCAGTATCTCTGTTGGAGGTGTTCTGATCATCTCCTGCCAACTCCACCGGAACCTATGCCCATCGCAACAGGCCCGACCCACTACAAACACTTCGGTGTATCGGATCAGACTACAACCGACTACTGTGCTGACCGGCGGTGCAGGTAACGCAACTCACTCTAATCACAACTTCTATAGAGCACAAGTTCCGAAGACACATTGAGGCCGAAGAGTGTCGAAGGCCTTGGAGCACCTGACCCCATGACATGGCGCAGCCATGGCAGTGATGGAGTCTCTGTCGACTCTCCAAAGATACAAAGTTGGCGGATTCGACACGCTTTCTGCCTGAGCTTGCTTGGTAAGCGATGTTGAAAGGCCACGCTTCGAGAGAATTCAGCAATGCAGGACGGCTGCTGAAAGGATCGACTGAAGTACCATGTTATGCCACAAGCGCATCCACCACAAGAACCACAAATCCAAACGGACACCTCGATCTACAGATTTATTTTGCTTGCTTGCGACTCTGCAGACCCGAGCCTCAGAGGGCAACCGAATTGAAAAGGCTGCGTGGCTCCAAAGGGGTCTTTACACCAACCCTGCCAAACCCCACAGCCTTATGATTTCCGTGAGATCTTGTCCACCTCATAGACACGCAGCAATGTGCCACATCGAATTCATTTAAGAACAAGCTTGAATCAAGCCAGTGCAACTGGCACGTCAAGCATGCACGATGTGTTTCTGCAATGCTACAGGGTGAAAAGCAGATCGATTGCAGCATGTCTCTGCAGAACAACTCACAAACGGAACCTATGTGTCTGCTGAAGCTCTGCCTCCGTCTGCTGATGCGCTGTTGCAACAATCGACCCGCGCAGTACGCACTTGGAGATTAATTATTTCATGACAAGCGAAGAGTCACGTATCTACTTTTCTACTCACAGCGTCTTTGTGCTAATACGCACGTGCAAGAGGTCTACTCATTTCCTGAGCTAATCGCAGTTCTGCTCTGCACATTGCATGCACGACATCAGCAAGCTGATCTTCAAAAGGTATTGCCGAGCAGCATTTGCCTCGTGCCTGATGACATCATAGCGGATGCTCTCACGTTCACACAGGGGCACACTCAAACACACATATTGCTGCTTCGAACTTGGCAAAGGTCCGGACGCCATGCCAGCACCCTTGCACCAGAGTTCGGCAGGAGCAATGCCCAACACTACTTGCAAACTTCCTTTGCGATGTTCCACTGCTCCATGCTTCTATGAGCATCAGCATACCGGCGTCAAGTGCGACAGGCTCAGACCGCAGCACAGCTTGCCAAAGACCGGTGACATGCACACATGACTACGAAAGACAGACTGTCTCGAAAGCTCGGATGGGCTATGCTTGTCATCGCAGCCGAAGGAGCGCACAACTTCCAAACCTTCATAATTGCCTGGCAGCTATCAACCTTCTCGACAAGGCCTTGAGGTGTCCTGGACTTTCACGATCAGCAAGATGATGCTGCAAACGTAGGCCCCCTACCTGCAGGTGATACGTTTGACACTCCATGACCCAGACTTCATCAGACTTCACTCGTGTGCCGGACTCTGTTGTTTGCCAGAACGAGTTCTCCAGCTTCAGGTTCAGGAGACCTGACAAGGCGCACTGCAATCCTGACCTTCCAGCAAGGAACCACCGGGTTGGCTGCCCTCTGCTGATTTGCAAAGGCTCCCCTGGTCAATGCAGGGATGACAAGTATGAAAAGGCACCCCAGTACAGTGTCAACATGGCAGCGACTTGTGCCTGACAGAGGGCCGCTTGAAGGTGCGAAAACACGTCTTGCAGAGCCAGATCGCCGCTTGCCTGCAAAACGCAGGCACGATACGACGATATGCGAAGCTCAGAGCTCGAAGCTACAAGCATCACGGATGCCTTCAGCAGAGGACTGAGCGTACTTCATGAGAAGTTCTGCAGTAGTCAAAGAGAACTTGCACAAAAGACTGCATGCATCGATTCGTGGTCGACGCACGCCCTAAAATTTCTCAGACCCATACTTTCGTCGTTGGCTGCCGCAACCGCTTTTGCCAGTTCGCCATCACCTTCAATTCTTCAGAGCAAGCAGAATCAAGCTGTTCGGGATCAGTTCGGTTGCCTTCCACAGAAGTGACCTCGACTCCATCCATATCGGGATCCGGCCGATACTTTGCAGGCCTGACGGCTTCATTAGCAGCAGCAGCGATCAAGTTCTCGCAGCTCTTGCAGCTGGGCGTTGTCTCCGAGAGTCGCACTTGTCTCCGTCGACATATCCTGCACCACATGAGCAGGACTCTACACACAGACGTATTGAGGCGCAGCGCCTTCTGGATGATAGTCACGGCCCAGAGACCTACTGTTCTCTGACCTCTGAGAGCAAAGGACAGTGGACCCGCCCACTATTCTTGTAAAGAGCTTTTTGATGCACAAGGGTCACAGGTCAATTGCATTATCAAGCTCGGGCTCCCGCAGACCCTCCTGTTTCGGCTTATCCTCCTCTATGCCAGACAAAGTACTTACCTCCAGCAGTCTGCAATGTGGGTTCGACATCGACAGAACAAGCTCCAATATGCTCCAATCCCGGAAAGGGCCAAGGACTGTAAGCACCTCGTACTTATGGCTTGCCCCACATCCCATCTCAGGCGCCCAAGGCAAGACGAGCCATCGGCACCCACATCAGCTGAAAACGGCCGCATGAGGCAGGCAAAACGGAAAAGGTGGTCAGCCCTGCTGTGCTGGGGTGAGCTTAGTCAGGGAATGCTTGGAAGCTACTGGACAGCAAGCTGCATGCAGGATTTCCAGTCGCTTGCGTAAGTCGGTCTTCCTGCGCACTTGGACTGGCTCAGACCAAGCTTGTCAAAGCTCCTCTGTCAGAAGACACGAAGGCTTCTAATGAATCTCAAACGAATCCTTAGGCTGCAACCTGGCCATGGAGCGGAGAGCGTCGCTTCAGTGTGAGGGCGCAAATGGACCCCTACTTTTGCAGGGTATCTGCGCCAGCATAGCAGCTCTTGCCGAATCTCCGGATTTGCAGGGGATTTGAGCTAACAAGGCTGCCTTTTTTAAATGAGCGGAAGCTGGTGGTGTTGCTGCAAAGCCTGGCTTCGGCATAATAACTTGGGGGGCCTTGGGTGGCACTGGGATTGAAGGCGCCTGCCGCACCGGTGCCACCGCGATTGGCACTGGCAACGAGGTGGGAACGGCGGGAACTGGAAGTGATGTGGCGCATGTGGCGGGTGTGGGCAGTGTTTGCAGGTGTGAGGGTAGAGGTGCGCCTGGAAAGGCTTTGCAAGGTGTCGGCGCCGGCGCGGCTTGCAGCAAGAACGGGTTGCTCAGAATTTGCCCCGCCCAGCCAAGGGGATCAGATAAGGCTTCGTTTTGGACCAGATTCGCCGTCTGCGCTTGCGTCTGCAAGGCAAGGGCATAGGTTCGGAGGTAGTCTTCTTCGGCCTTCGGCGCTTGGTTGTCCAGGACGCTCATCTGCTGCTGCATCCAGGCATACATTGCTGTCATTTGTGATTGAAGCTGCTGGTGGTTATCCGACACCTGGCTCTTGATGTCGGGCTTTTTGCCGACTGGCTCTGGTGCCGCTACTCGGGGCTCCTCAAGACGGGGACAACATAAAAAACTGACAAGAATGTCACATCCAACGCCCGGTTCGACCCCAAACCCACAGCCTCCTGGGCCACTTCGAGGACGGGTTCGCCAAGCAGCTCCGGCTCTCCACCAATTTGCTTCTGCACGCTGACGGCGTCGACTGCGTTGGCTGCATTCTGTTCCGTGGCAACGGAACTCGTGCGGTCTGCCTTCTTGGCTTCCTGGTGATTCTTGACTTCAAAAGCGATTCGCCTCGGTTCCTGCATGGGAGCAGCAACACGCGAGCTCGCGCCATCCTCCACAGCAGCTCCCGAAGTGGGTTGCGGCTTGTTCTTTGCATCGGGGGAGGGATTCTCTCTGGGGCGTCTCTCGCCAGCTCCCAACTGCCTCAAAAGGATTTGCTCTTGGATCCTTTCTCTCTTCGCATCTCGAAGATCTTGTGCCTTCGCCGCAAGCTCAGCCGCCTTTTGGTCGTGCTCCGAACTGTCCTGCTTTCTCCGCTTTGCATCTGCTCGCTGCGGGGACGGCTGCATCTTTGGATCGAGCTGGCGTTTCGATTCCCCAGCAGACTCTGCACGCCCAGCGGCAATTCCAACCGGACCCATGGATCGGTTGTCAGCCTCTGCACTTTGACCTTGCGGAGATGCTTGCGTCTCCAAACGCTCTTTGCCTATTATCTTGTCTGACGTCTTGTCTGGTTCGCTCTGTGCTGTTTGAGAATCCTTGCTCTTCTTCTCCCGGCGCTTCTTTGCAGGCTCGTCGGCGTGATTGTCCGCCTGTCGCTTGAGGCTTGGCTCGGCAGTCTCCGCCTTCTGCTCCGGGCTGACGGCGGGAACAGCGTGAGGAACTTGCAAAGCTTGGGCTCTGAGCGTCTCCTTCGTCTCCCTCTTGCCTTCGGCAGATGAGTTGGAGTCGTTGTCATCAGCCATTTCACCTTCGACAACTTCCTGGCACAAAAGTTGCTGGCAACACCAGTGTGAGTCATAAGCTTGCAAGCTGCAAAGCCATGAGCATGGAGCCTCGATGTCCGCATCATCCACAACACCTCCTTGCTGCCTTCTTGCCTCACGGCAGATTCTTGGAGATGTGTTCAGAACATCTATGGTGTGAAAATCCTCATGGGAGTATTTCTGAAAATCCAGCTGTCGACTAACGGTGACTAACGGTCCGCTGAAATCCGCTGAATACAAGTACCCCCAGCCTTCTCCGCACCTTCTTCCTTTGGCGGATGATCCTCGTGGACATCATGGACATCGATACCGTTGTCGCTTGCGACTTTGGCATCCAGTTTGCCGTTTGCTGCCCCATCCTCCACGCACGGCGGCACGGGTTGTCTTGCTTCTCGACAGGCTGATGTGCACTTCTGCAAGGCCTGCTTCTTGTCTTCAACCAACGTAGCAGCTGAGACCTCTGCTGAGGCAACCACATGCTGAACTCTAGCCGGCCGAACAGGGTGTGCTGCGCCCCTGAACGTATGCTCCCTGAAACCAGAACCCAGTGCGCTCTCGCTCAACACCTGGATAGCTCTGACTCTAATGCGAAGCAAGGGTTGCCATCAGTGGTGTAGAACTTGCTGGATGTCGGAAATACTGTTCGATCGTTAGTCTGGCTCTTTAAATCGCAGATGCAAAGCAGCATCAACTCTTTGGATTGAGTCCGGTTGAAAGCGGACTGAATTTAGGACCTAAGGAATTAAAGTCGATTGATGCTGAAATAAAACTGCACACCACCACAACACGGTAGTTACGTTGACAAGCTGCGTTCAACAAACATGTAGGGTGTATCCACCTTTTTTGTGAGACTGTATCAACTCGCTGTCGCAGGTACATTGTGTCACAGCAATATAACGACAATGAAAGCCAAGAGCTTAATAAGTTTCCGACATTGTGAAAGCTGACATGCGACATGAACTGTGGAAGGAAGTGTTTTGAGGAAACATAAGCAAACTGCATGCTCGTGCAGTGCCTGAAAGACAGCCTGGCCGGGAGCCGAAGGGCATCAAGAGTTCGGTCGAGGATGGAAATGGGAAGTGGCTGACTGGAGAAACAATCGCTTAATGAATCTAACATCACATGCAGAACAATGACTTTTGCAATTCTCAAACTAAGCACTCTCGGCCATCCTACTCAGAATGCTGAGGAACGAAAACTGAATAGCAACAACAGCAACACAGACCATTGATGGAAGAACCACTTGGACTGACGAAGTCAACGGAGTAACCCAAGATTGAGGCTGAGACCACAATTGGAACAAAGAAATAAATTTTCGTAAATTACTAAAGCTGCCGTAATCTGCTGTACTCGTTCCTCCTGACCCTCAGACTAGTCGGGCAGGACAGCTGATCGCTGATAGATGTTACGGGGGTATTGGATACTGGTACGCTTTCATTGTGAAGCAAAATAAGTAATCATTCGTCCAAAAGACGCACGTGCCTCAATATTGAGTGACAAGCCTTTGGCAAATCAGTATGGCAAAGTGCTTGAAGAGTCGGAAAGTGCTGACGATGGTTTGGAATTTGGAAGACATCAGGGTGGAGGAAGACTTGCCAGACGGCGAATTGCAGAAACACGAAGATCTCAGATCAAGCCAATTTCATGACTCAATCGCGATGAAGTTAATCAAATGACTGGAGATCGACATGCTGTCTGACAACATGAAAATTCCAAGAGTGAACCTAGTGGAAGCAGAAGGAGGCATGCGTAAGGCGTCCAAAATCGCCCAAACGTCCTCGGCATGGTGTTCTGTGGCTAGCAAGGTCGGCTTGGAGGCCACTGCAGGCTCAACTTGCTGCAAACTGTCAAAGTTGCTCAGGACACCCCGCTTTGCTCGCTCCGCACTCGCCGTATCACCGAACTCACCCATCGCATGCTACATGTTCGTACAGGCCCCTGTTGGCAACTTCTTGTTGGACGCCGAATACTCGATGGGGGGAACTTGGGAGCCGGAGTGGCCAGACAAGCAGCTCTTGCAACTAGCACGAAACATGCGTCTTCGCCGCAATGTGACTCCTCTCTCGCCTGCTTTGGGCTTTGCAATCTGACGTGCTTTTCTTGCAACTGCAAGAAGCGACCCAAACAGCATCGTCGTGTTCTTGGCTGCACTATCGAGACCTACATCGCAGTCCTGATAATCGAAGTCGATGTGCGAAATCATGCGATATCAACCGAAATCACAGGTCTCGACATCTCGAATCTGCGAAACTGCGAGACCTGGTCCTCAAGCTATCAGCAAAGACCAGTCAAGCACAACTGGCAAGAAGATGCATAACACCGCAAGACACGGTCTGAGCACGGGACATGGACGTCGTGCCGAGAGCCTGTTCACAGTCACTGAACTTTTGCTGCTGCTGTCGGCGTGGCGCTGCTGTTGCTGTTTGCTGGCGATGCCGTGGGACGGAGTGCATAACTTGTGATTTCGAAAGACAGAACTTTCAAGTTCCAGCTGGAAGAATAAAAAGGCTTAACCGCTCCCACGAAACACACTACAGAACCCCAGTGCCGAAGCGGCGCATCGTGCACATTCGCTTGATGTTGACGAAGCCGCTGAACAAACCACACCGAAAACAATCCGCTGAATACTTGTGGAGCGACCAACCCATCAGCTCAGCAACAGTATGGACATAACAACTCCAAATGCTGCTACAGGGCCACGCATGCTTCTCGACTTTCGCACTGCTGAACACTATCACGGATCTGGAACTCATGGCGCCACCAGCCAGAAACACACTCAAACATTCCGACCCTGCTGCACGCAAGCAAGCCTTGGCCCCCGAGTTTCCACCAGTTTACAACCCATGGACTCGCGCACTGCGGCGAATTCGCGCTCGATTCGCAGGTCGCCCCGAGAACGTGCACTGGGATTCGCGCACTGAAAGCGCGAGATTCGGCAGCGGAGGATTCGCACACTGACCGCAGTAAATTCGCGCACCGAAACGACTCGCGCGAGAGAGCGACGATTTCGGGCAATGGGGATTCGCACAGGGCTCTAGGAGTGCTCTCGGCATTCGCTTGTTCAAGCTGGGACTCCAACACCAACAAATGAACGAACAAACAACGGGGACCTGCAGCGACACCTGCAAAGAAACCTGACAAAGCGGTCGAAGGCATTCGATGCATTCGACAGGACGTGGAAAAGGGACTAGTCGGTTCACACACGACAAGGGGGAAGGTGTGAAAAGCCTGCCTGACGACGCGTTAACTGCAAAAAACCTCAACCGTAAAAGGGCATGGAGGCGAGAAGTAGAATGCTCCTGAACCTGAACACGAGATGGAGGATTGAGACCTTGAAGGAGATGGAAGTGCGACAAAATTAAACTCCAACAGCAAGTAGACCAAGACAATTGGGGGCGAGATGAGGCTGTTCTGCGCGAATCGCGACAGCTTCAATCGGCTTCGTGCATGAGAATCGCTGCTAATCACACGCGCTCGAATCCTGCGTGCTCGAATCAGGTTTGGTGGATGCAACCTGTGCAGTGGTCGAAATGCCGGCGTACTGGAATGGCACGTACTCTGGCACAACAACACCATCGGTGCGAGGCAGAGGGGATCGAAGGGATCGAAGGAAAGGAGTTCAGACTCGGCCAGGCATCAGGCGGGAACAGAGTTTTTGTGGAGAGCTGCGGTCGCTGAGTTCGAACTGAAGGATGGAGACTTACTGAGCAGCGCGGCGTGATTAGGGCTCATGATTGAAGGTATGGCAATTCCCCATCCCGTCAGGCAAACCCTCTACTCTGGGTTGGGAATTACCCGAGCAGACCGAGGTGGATATCCACATGTCGCAGCATAAGCCTAGTGCCCTGGAGATTTGAATCCAGGATGCACTGTGTGTGGAGTTGCGCTAGCCACTAGACCGGGGCACCCACCATTGACCTGTTCAGGGACCTTCGGCCTGAGTCTCCACATACCATCGCGCTATCCACTCATGGCGAAAACAGAAATGCTTGGAGAGTCTTGGAGATGGACTTCACAACTTCTGGCTCTTTGCCGCGCAGGTGCTCCACGATCTGCTCGGCATCTGGCAGAAGCGTGTGAGCTTGGGATTGGGGGACTTGTGCGAAGTCGGAGGCTCCGAGCTGAGAACTCTGCTTGGGCGCTTCGAAGCGTCGCCGAGCATCCGCGAAAGCAGCTCCTCCCCAGCGCCGAAGATCGCCGAAGGACGGGGGCAAAGACCCGTCGGTCTCCGCATGTCCCCGCATGTCCCCGCGTCCCGTCCTGACTGAGGCCGAGAGCTCCCGAGAGGCGGTCGCCCGCCTGGAAGCATCGAAGCACCGAGTCACCCGAAACCTCTTTTCACGATGTATGCAAGCTTCCGCTTCCGCGGGGCCTCCAAACCCATCAGCCGACTGACAGCAAGCCGCGCCGCCTGCACGTTGCTAAGCGGCAAAGAAAACTGAACCAACTCTCCCAGCTCCAGCTGCGCCTGCATGCCAGAAGTCTGCAACTGAACAGCCAACACTCCAAATGAATACACCTCGGGAAACGATCGAGAGGCCACACGTGCTCCTGCTGCTGATATTCGCACACTGTGTTGCTGGTGGGCTGTCGCGACGCTGAGCACACCACATCAAATGAATGTGTCGGATATGCAAAGTTCACGAAGTTTTCCTTAGCCTTGAAATGTCAAGCAGCACATCGTGTAAACTTAAACTCAGGGACTGCCTGCCTTGACTTCCGGTGGAGCCCAATCGAATCGCTTCTTCTCTTCTTCTTTCCAATTGCACCTTCACCGCACCAGGCGGGAGGGCTCTTGCCCCGAGCCGCACGGCGCTGGACTGTTCGCTTACAAGGCTTATAACCACAGCCTTTCGCATGGCTCTTTGAGTCCGCAGAACCCTTCCTCAACGTGCTTCCAGGCTGTTTTGCTCGTAAACTACTTGTCCTTGCACGCATAAGGCGCTGCAGGCGGAAGCAAACTATGCAAAAACTGCAAGGGCCATCAAGCATATCTGAAGTGAAAACAACACGAAGACCACTGAACGCCCCAACAAAACTTCATGCAGATCTTGCTGAACCGTCTATTCACTTTATCAGGCATGTGTAATCGAATCTTGGTGTTCACACTTTGTCCCGAGATGTATGCCAAAGCCAAGGGGTCGTGTAGCGGGCTCGCAATGGCTTCGGGAGTTTCGCGGAAGGCATGTGAAGGTCTACGGAAGCTGACCACAAGGGAATTGTCCATGGGTCGTCGAGCAGCGTCGCCGCACTCCAGAAGCGATCGGGTCCCGAGACATAGACGCATGGTCTTGAAAATCGAAAGAGCGGTACATCTTTGACTTCTTCCGGGGACGCACCGTTCGCTTGCCTTCCGAACTCGGACTGTGCACAGATCCTGAGGGCAAGATAAGGCAAGAGGCCTTCAAGATCATGCCAGCGTAGACAGCAAACAGCGAAGACCGCGAATCAGCCCAAGCCCTACCTTGCACCTCATGAAGCCAAAGTTTATATGCGCACCAGGCTGGCAGGGGCACGATTCCCCCCGGAACATGCACCGCACTGTGACGGGAACACGAGTTTCATGTCAAAATGCACGTAGGACTGAGGATGTTCCCCAAAACAGTGTGGCAATAGTAACACTTCAGATGTTGAGTACCTGGATTCGAACAGCAGTCCGCCCTCCTTTTGTTGACTAAAAACAAATTATTTCCACAGTTCCACTCCGGCCGCATCCACCGGGGACACCGATTTCAGCGTAACATCCACTACACCGGTGCCTCCCTATTTGGTGAATCACGCTCTCCCATCTCTCGCCACCGTGCCGCACAATGCTTTTCTGGGTATGTTTCCGTGCACATGCAGGTTGGCCTTCAAGTCGCTCGAAGTCGCTAAGGTCACAGCAGGGCCACAATGCCGCCCCTGTTAGTCATGTAGCAACATCGTGCATTTTGGGGTGCGACTCGATTGCCAGCCACAGCCAGTGCATTTTCTCCTCGCCAAACCGATTTACCGCCCGGATGTCCGCTGCAGCGAGATCCTTCAAGATCCACCTTCGGTATCACGAATCGCCGGAGCTGCCTGCTCTATCCCGGTTCCTTTACTCATACACTTTCCACGGTGGCTTCACGGCGAGGCCGTAAAGTTACGTAGATCTCAGCAGTAGCTGTCCACTTCCAAAACAGCGCACACGTATGCACCACATGCACACATACTGTGTACTGTGAGGCTTATGCTAAACTTACGCATAAGCTTATGTATGAACCAAGCAGAAGCCGTATGTGCCGGTACATGCATACATGCTACATATGAGCGCTCATATGTACATGTACATACACAGATAGATAGATAGATAGATAGATAGACAGAGTAGATAGAATATGTAGACAGAGTAGATAGAATAGATAGAGTAGATAGAAAAGATAGAGTAGATCGAGTAGACAGAGTAGATAGAGTAGATAGAGTAGATAGAGTAGCTGGAGTAGACAGAGTAGATAAAGTAGATAGAGTAAATATGTAGATAGATGGATAGATAGAAAGATAGATAGATACACAGACTGATAGACATATAGACAGATAGACAGATAGACAGATCGACAGACAGAGAGATAGATAGATAGATAGATAGATAAATAGATAGATAGATAGATAGATAGATTAGATAGATTAGATAGATAGATAGATAGATAGATAGATAGATAGATAGATAGGTAGATAGATAGATAGATAGATAGGGCTAGGGTCAAGGGTTACGATTTCAAGGGCTTGGGCGGTTGAGCTTGGGGGTAGC